GGGGCCTGAGCGTGGCCCGAAGGCCAGCCCACGTGTACGGGGCCCAGACAAGTCCTAAAGTGGCCGCCAAACGTCAGATAGTCACATAGACAAAGCATTACAGCACCAAATGCAGACGTCTGTCTAAATCCTTTCGTTACGATTGATTCGCTTGCTTGGTTTGCTCGCTACTGCACTTCGATGGAGTCAGACTCACCTCTTCGTGTGTATGGCTCATGATTGCCGATGCACGACGCCAGAATTCACTTAATAATACTGGATTTCTCCACCAGAAGTGGAATTCCATTGCCGTCTTGTCTGATGGTTGGATTACAAGCATCCTGTCGTGAAAAGAGAGGTCTCGACTTTCTGCCTAAGGGAACCCCACTTTGGGGTATTTGCATGCATTGAACCAGTGCATCATCCGATCGAACCGTTGCTCGTCGGCTTGTTCGTACTGTTCTTTTTCGGAAATCGGTCGATGAATTGGCGAAGTTTGGCAACACAAACTTAAGATATCAGTAAGACGGTGGTGTCTGTTTGGCAATAGATTTGCCCGCACACAGACGACCAACGAAGAACAAGCATCAGAGAGCGACCCCACCTCGGCTGGAGCAAAAGATTTTCAAAAGCACTTTATAAGTGAAAGTGGTTAGAAGAATGTCGGGTTCGCTAACCGCTACCACCAGTGTAGCGACCCGAGGCTTCTCATAGGGTGGAAGGAGGCGTAAGTGAAGGTGAATACATGCATTCCGAAGACGACAGGGCTAATGGGGCCTGAGCACGGCCCGAAGGCCAGCCTCTATTTACAGGGGCCAGATAAACTCTAAAGTAACCGCCTAACATCAGGTAGTCACATAAACAATGCATTACACTGAGCGGGTAGTGTTGAAAGTGATTAATTGCAAGCCGCGTCAATTCCTCGCATACTGTTTCACCGTGAAACGGAATAATGAATGCGTTGCCGCTAGTCGCAATTCTATTCCGTCTGCTACTACAACGTTTCCAAACTGGAAGCATTTTATTAAAAGTTGACACATTAAAATTCTTGATAGACAATCAATTATAATAATAAAACAAGAATTTACTCCAGTCAAATGCAATGTCTCCTCTACGAGTCAGTGGATCTGGAGTTAAATTATTCTCAGGCTATACAAATTGGAATAACGTAGTTTTAGTGCCCGAGGCCACCTCACAAATGCTTGTGTTGAGTTGGTACAGTTGGACAGAAAAGGAAAAAACTACGCATTGTTATTGCTATGAATGCCATCCCAACCCTTAGAAGCATCGCTACTGCTCACTTGTCATCTTACGACAGTTACGGCTGTGCGAACAAAGCATTACGATTGTGGCGTCTGCGGGCTCGGAGGCCGGTTCACTCGTACGGAGACAGCACTGGTACGAAATAATTGCACGATATCTATATTTGGCCTAACATTTAATTGTCCAAACCCTCTATAAATACATCTGCGTATACATCTTCCACGCGGTAGTACTCCGCGCTATTGCAAATCATTTGATTACATTTGGCTTGGCAATTGGATTTGAATGATCTCCGCCTCACGTCTTACACTCCATTTAATTCCATTGCATCACCTTCTCAACACATGACCAGCATACGAGCCTCCGAACCTGGTGACGCCTCTGAAATGGAAGGTTTCGTACCAGCTCTGCCAGAGGTTTTAGCAACATTGTGTCTATCCTTGGTCTTCTCCACCGCACTATCCTGCCTCATTCAAAATTACGAACTGGCGGACATCTAATCCATCTGTTTACGGTTTGGAGACTGTTTCAAGCCTGACTTCCTGTTGGTGGTGTGCCAAATTAGGTTAAGCATTATCACGATGGAGGAGAATGGCATGACTTTTCCTCACATTTACCAAATTCAAGAAGATTTAAAAGCGAGGAAATAATGCTTATATTGTGTGATTTGGTGCTGAGACATCAGCTGAGTAGACTGCTACTGGGGACACGACTATCACGTTGTGCTTCGCTACTCTTCCGGAGGCAAAACACCAAAAATGTGCCCTTAACGACTTCCCATTTTGCACAAATATGTGTGTTTGGCCCACTTCTTACGAGTTCTACGAAGATCCCGCCTAGCTCCTATAGCTTGTCCAGACTTCATCTAAGCTGAAGCAAAGGAAGGCTTTCAGAATTGATGCGGCAGCCATACTGTCGAACAGATCCGACAAATTGTACTTTTCATGAGGGAGTAAAACTTACTATGGACACGTACGCCACCCGTTTTGAGATGGACACATGCATAGCCAAATCACCTTTTACAAATCACTCAAAATAACAACCAAGGCTGGTCAAAACAACACTTCCACCCCGCAATTCAAAATTGTCAACTTCCGCAGTACAAACTCGTTTTTTTTATCGAATTTACTAAAATTTCGGGGTTCACTTTCCTCCTTCTTCCTCTCACCTTCCTCTTGTCACACACACCGACGGACGCGCCAGATCCAGTCTCAAATCCTAGTGAAGCTGCAAGGCCTGGGGCCTTGTCAGTACACCGAGTTGACAGATCATTTAGCAAGACAAAGCGCTCCCCCGCCACACCTGTCCCCTTCAGTGCAAGGCTAATAGTAAACCTTTTGCCAAACTGATACAGCTTACTACGACTGAAAAATGCCCGACTCACGGCTAGACATTAGCTTCGTACGTTAGAGTAAACTACCACTTTTACGGCAAGAGTGATTGATAACAAGCACCGTATGAAGTGGAGAAGGGTGACAAGGCGCACCTTTAACTCGAACACGACAGCGGCTGCACACTGTTCAATGACATCCTGGCCTCCGGTAGAGTTACCACCACTTGATGTATAAAAGTATCCACAAATACCCCAAAAATTTAGGCAATTATGGAGACTCTGAGTGCGTTGATGGTACCCATAACCCTTCACCCACACTGGGAAGTGAGAGATAAACGACTGAAGGTAACTTCATCGAAGATGGTGAATGCGTCTTAATCAAAGTGACAGTGCATTAGCCAAAAGCACTTCAGTAACTGTAAGTTGAGCTACAAAAAAAGCCAGGCGCCCTTGAGTTTGGTGTTGCAAAAAAACCCAATCCACCATACGGCTTACGACCTCGTGAAAAACGGCCGTACACAAAGGCAGCAAAAGAGGGAGAAGAAAGCCGGTGGCAAAAGTGACCACCTCATACAATCTGCAGACTCCAGCTACGCGGAAGCACACAACTCACCTCCAGCCACATCCAGCGTCATTTAACGCCCCATTTTTTTGTAAAAAAGCAAATGCTTCTCGAAAGGCGAGTCTACATTACGTGTGAATGCATGATTACAAAATAGGAAGTTGCATTTTCAGTTTAATGTGATAGCAATGCTCCAGACCGGTGGATCGGGTTATGGTGAGGGCATGCATTTGAGACGGTCGAACGCAGCCCTCTCCAAAGATTCCCTGAAAGAACAACAAGTACGTAGCATCGTGGTAACAATGGAATTACTAACAGCATCCCGATGCTATTGACGTATGTGCAAAACATTCTTACAGCAATTAGTTGCTTGTGAATGAATAGAGTGAAATAGGGATAAGTTACCTGAAGTCAGGATGGGCAATTTGGATGAGAGCGTGTGCTCTCTGACGAAGATTCTTCCCAAAGAGATAGGCGATTCCGTACTCCGTGACAACATAGTGTACATGAGCACGTGTTGCGACCACTGTAGTGCCTCGCGATAAGAAAGGCACAATTGTTGATCTGCCCTCATCATTCAAAGAGGTCATTGCAATGACCGGCTTGCCAGCCCCATCGGTAGCAATAGAAGCGCCGCGGAGAAAATCAATTACTCCTCCAACACCTGCAACAAAAAATCCGAAGTAGGGAAATTATAAACCTTTTGCAAAGGCTATTGCACAAATTTAACCAGTTCCTCAAATGTCATTGAAATACGAACACTATAAGGCTGGCGGTTAGAGTATTGATAGCTTAAAGAGATTTTTGGATATTATAATTCAAAATGGTATCAATAAGTACACAAGGAAGAAGAACTCCACATCACATTATCCCATTCGAGTCGACAGTGGCCTTTTGAGTAGACGCACCGGTGTGAATTCGGCCGTCATAACCATCTGAAGAGCTCTGACCAGAAAGATCCATCTCAAATGCGTGGTTGATGGCTGTGACCTTGGGATTGAGAGCAATCAGCTCTGGCGCATTAACCCACGCGATGTCATAGAGAGCTAAGTAAATGAAAGTAACATGTAAATGCTCTTCCTTTCTCTCCCAAACACTTTTATAGGCGATCAGAACCTACCAACGAGTGGATTTTCATTGATAAAATCAAACGTTTTTTTCGTTCCAATAACGTAACTAGCGACAATACGACCACGTCTGACGGATTTGAAACGGTTATTGATAACACCGAGATGAACCAGATCAATCTCACCATCGCCAAAACATTCCGTATGAATGCCAAGGTCTTTGTGTCCTCGCAAGTAGGTGGTTAACTGCTGCGAAATTTTAGAAGGGGCTATAGAAAGGAAGCATGAGTCGATAGGTGCTTATACTCTTTTTCATCTTGAGTGACATCACATCGATTCCAAATTAATACCAAATACCTAATTCGGAGCGACTAAATAATTCAGCTTTCCTAGACCACAAGGCAATTTGCTGTTCACAAGTTATAGAGGTGACCTACAAAGCTGAAGCGTAGCTCCGTCTTCAACGAGATTGTCAGCAATAATATGTGCAACCTTCCTTTCCATGGGAGATATTGTCTTCCAGCTAGTTTCCAGTAACTGTTGAGGACCATTTACAAGGAAGTCTATTTTGCTGATGTGAATAGTTGAATCCCCGTAGGTCACCGGCTGCAATGGGTTAACTTGAGCTAAGCGAAAAAGAGTAGACAAAAAAAAATCTAGCTTACCAATTATCGTTTTGGCGCTTTGAATGGCAGAACGTGCAGTTCCAACAAACGTCCCAAGAGAACAAAATCCGTGTTTGTCAGGGGGAGTCACGGATATTAATGCGTAATCAAGGTTGACGTGCTTCTGTCGATACAGAAGAGGCGCTTCTGACGCGGATATTGGGATAAAATCAGCTCTTCCATCATTTACTGCTTCCCGGCAATATTTGTCTTCAATCGGTGAAAAAAACACACAAGCTTACTGGCTAAAGAGGTAGTTAGCCGAAGTTTGTCATGAATGTTGTCGATAAGAGAGCTTAGAGGACCCATTGGGAGAAGAGACAGAATGTTCAGGTTCTTGAGGTCACTTGATTTGACATGATGGTACAAAAGAGATAGCAACACACTCGGTGTTCCCGAAGCACCATGAACGAATATTCTGTCACCGCTTTTAAGGTCCTTAAATATTTCGTTGCCTGCTTCTGACCAAATGGGATTACGACCTGGAACAGGGGCGGTAGGCTCCTGCAACCCAGGCACCCAACCTATTTTTATGGTATCAAGCGAAGTAAACCTTCGAAAAGACGAAGAAATCAGACCATAGCGTTTTGGCAGCGCAGACACCAGCATCTGACAAAACCCACGCAAAACTACAAGAACCGGACAACCTAACACCACCGGTCAGCCAAAACTCTAAGAATAGAGAGCGTCTTCATTTGCTAGCTATAAACACACATTCAAAATTTTAAAAATCTTTAAGATTTTTCCCAAACGCCTAATTTTTGCATAAACACCTTTAAAGATTATTTTTGAGCTTCTTACTACTTCACAGTGCAGGAGATTGATACTCCGACAAGAGATAAAAATAACTCCATGATTAACTTTTTTAACATCTCACTGTTTCCTTAAAAATGACATGATTGTAGTGCATCAAAAATTATTAGTAGGTAAAAGAAGGAATTTTGGGAGAGAGAAGAAGAGCATCAAGCCTGGACATGACCCGAAGGCTGACCCGCATGCGCAAGATCCAGACGATTACCAATGTGACTGTCAGACACCGGATGATTGCATAAACAAGTTGCTACCCTCCTCTGTGGAGCGGTGTCGCTTGTGTTCCATTGAATACAATTTCACCTTAATCTGCATGACGTATTTGCCGCTGCGAAAGACAACCAATTTTGCAAAATAGAATGCACTTGGCTCTCCCAGAAGCTTCATATGAAACTCTAGTTGCGTCCAACATACAACAAAAATCATGCAAGAGTTCCCCTACTGGCGATTAATTGTGTTTAGGTCTGGACGCTAGACCTAGACCAAATTCAAACAGCCCTGTGTGGAGTGAAATCAGGCGCAATGCCATTGTTGACTCCTTCCTTAGAATAATAATAAGCAAATTTAAAATGGTGCTACTAAATTGTTAGAGGATCAGAGCAATGTAACGATTAACAGCGGGAGTTAGCGGACTTCCCATCAGCCTGTCTGACTCCTCCCAGTACTGATCAATGCTGGAGGCTGGAGGGACCCTCCCTCCAAAGCCTCGCTGACAAAGCTACAGGTAAGAGGTTGGGAACCCCTTTGGTACAGTTGCGTAGGCCAAAATCGAATCTTGTAATCGTCAGCCATCCCTGAAAGCTCATGTCTTCTTTAAGGGATTGAAGGTCCATCGAAGCTACCGCCACTGTGATTCGGTTCGGACATCCCCTTTCAGGGGCATTCAGAAGATTTTGTAGTCTTCGCATTGGATGGAAGGAGGTATTCAGTGGAGCTGAACACATGCACTCCCGGAAGAGCAACGGTATCACGTCTGAGCATAGCCCGAAGTCCAGACAAACTTTAAAGTAACCGCTAGACATCAGGTTGTAACAGCAAAGTATCTCGTGTTTCCTGACCATAATTGCCGTCAAGGCAGTGACTGTGCGTGTGTATACCATGTTAAATTCGGTACGGTCTGGAGGCGTTGGTACTGTAGGGTGGTGAACCGTAATACATGCACGGATCAATACGGTGTAGACTGCAACTGTGAGCATAGTGATGTACTTCCAGCCTCGCAACAAGCGTTTCATACGTACTCCCTTCCCCAAAGAACTATAGCATGATGCACGGTGAAGTCAAATTGCAACGGACTGAGTTAAGATGGTGAGCCTTGCGGCTACTGATTCTTAAAGACTAGTACACATTAAGAATTCTAAGGCCACGATTATGGCTTCAGGTGACAAGGCACTCTTTCACCTCGCCCGGTTGTGACAACGCAGCACAATGTCAAGCCTTTTTTCCCCCACTTAGGTTGGAGCAAACCTCTTACACGGTTTGCGAAACCAACTACGACCGGAGGCAAAGCTGGAGGACAAAGAAAAGTGGAAGAGTGAGAACAAACCCTGACAACCCATCTCCTCCATTCCCTCACCCTCTTGACAATGCATTACATGTACAGTCGCTATTTTAACTGGTTAGATGTCATAGTTGGTGATGCCTTACGAAGGGCAAAAAGATTTTTATAAGACTGTGTCACTTCCCTTCCGATGTTGATTACCCTCATTGATGTTGACAAGTTGGTGGGATGAGACAGGAAGACGTCTACCGACTTGTCTCACCAGTTTCCAGTTCCCTACGAACAGCTTTCTTGTACTCCTCCAATCCGCCAGCCAAAACACGCACACGACTGGCTGTCGGGAGGCAGACATCTGCCTTGTTGTCGGTGTAACAATGGCGAGTGCACAACCAGCATTCCGTGCATACCGATGCAATGAGACGCTCGTCATGCGAGACTAGAACGACACCTCCGTTGAAATTGTTCAGCGACTCCCCCAATGCGCCGATCGTCTCAATGTCCAGGTGGTTGGTCGGTTCATCCAAAATCAGGAGGTTGGGTCTTAATGCAAAAAAATAACTAATTAAAGTAAATTAAAGGGTACCACGTATACAAATCGTGCAAGCGGAGCAGCAGTGGTAGCACTACCTTAGCATGCAGAC